CCGCTGCAGCCCCCTCAGCCCCAGCCTGGCCAGGGCAGCTGCACCCACTGCTAACGAAGCGGGCGCCATCCCCTCCAGCCCCCCCGGGGAAACCCTCCCTGCTGCCTTCTCCCGCAGTGTCCCAGCCCCGGCAGGACCTGGCCCTGCAGCGCTGATGGTGGCTCCTGCCTCGAACCCGAGTTTGTTTCTCCCCACGGGTGATGCTCGGGGGAAGCACGGCCGCCGGGGACTTGGTGCCGTGCGGGATGAGGCCCCTCTCCCATCACCACCAGTGCTGGCTTTAGCCCTCGGGCCAGCCGAGATTTGTGGTGGGAGATGATACCCATGAGGTGCTGATGAAGGCTCTCAGTGGTACCCAGCTGTAGGTCAGGAGCAGGAAAGGGCAGGATGGAGAGGGTGGTGGGACCAGACCTCCAGGGGTGCTGAGCCTCCAGCCAGTGGAGCCAAGGGCACGGGGGGCTGTATGGGACACACCACAACTCGCTGATGGCAACTTGGGAAGGACCCAGAGCAACTGCAGCAGCATTTCAGCCCCAGCTCTTCCTCCCCAAAACTCCATCCCTTCCCCACAGTGAAGCCCCACGTGCCACCACTGGGAACTTGGGCTCAAACCAGACCTTGGCAGCAGAACAGTGGTGTGGACCCTGGAGGAGGGGGCATCTTGTGGGGGAGCACCAAGGTAGAGGGTTCCTTGGGAGATTCCACTCTGGTTCGCTTTGATCTTGTCCTTCATCCGCTCCATGTCGACAACCATGGAGGCGAGCTGAGGGCTGCTCGTGGTGCCCTGCAGTGGGTCCTTCCCGGGCAGCCGCTCCCCCGGCTCCTGCCCCATGCCCTGTCCCTCTCCACCTCCAGGACAGGGGGTGCCTTGGCAGGCTGGTCTCCCCCACAGGAGGGAGGTCAGGCTGTGCCCCACTTCTGCAGGTAGGTCCTGCCCGAGCACGGCCCGCAGCAGGCTGCGCAGCGCCGGGAAGTTGATGGCCCCAACTTCGGGTCACCTGATGGTGACATCCAGCAACTGGGACAGGCTGCGCTGGGCCATCGCTGCTGCCCGGTGGAAACTGTGGAGGGACCTGAGGGGGACGGGAATTTTTCTGCCTGGAGAGGACTGGGATGGGTGGGACGGATGGGCAGTGGGCAGCCTTCCTCCTCCTAACAGAGGGATCAAACCGCTTGTGGGGACAGGGGACAATGCAGCATCTCTCATTGCTAGGCGACACTCCACCCCCGGTCCCTGCCGGTCCTCAGGATGAAGTTATTTATCCACACGGATGGGAGACACTGAGGTGCCCTGCTGCCTTTTCCACCTTAATACCTAAAACACAACTGGTGAAGTCTAATGTTTTGCAGCAGCTCAGCGCAGCCCGTGCCCAGGGAGAGGCAGCTCCTCGCAGGGGGAGTGTCCCTGCAAAGGAGGGATGAGCTGTGTGTAGAAACAATACCTGCTGGTCACACAGCATGGTCCGGGCTGAAACTATCCAGGAGAAGACCAGTCCCAGCAAGGAAGCACCTCTATTTATTTGATTTTTTTTTTTTTTTTGAGGTATTGAAAAGCATGACAGATTTTGCCCTCTCCCTAAGGCGTGGAAATGGTGGAAGGCTGCTGCTGACAGCATCAACACATGAATTTCTAGCATCTTGCTCCAAAGCAAAGAGCCATATAAGCAGGGAAAAAGAAACACAGGTAAACGCATGCTTCCAGAAGTATTCAAACACTGGGAAAATCTTTGAACCTGAGTGATCCATCAGACAAGTACTTACAAAAAAAAAAAAAAGACAATCAAAAAGAACTACTCCCTTAAAACCCTCCAAGTCCGACCATCCCACAGTCAGAGCACTGACATGTCCCTCCTTTGGCGAGGCACTCAAAGACAATTTCCAAGAAAGGATGACAGCGGGCAAGCAGGAAACAGAACAGACACCTTGCGCTTTTAAAAGATACAAGAGATCCGATTTCAGGCATTTAAACAAAAGCATATAGATCTGCTCTGTGTGTGTATTTTTCTTTTCCGAGCTGGGAGGATTGAATTCAAAGAGGGAGTAGAGAGATTAAGAGATGGGAACAAGATGGACTGAGGCAAGAAGCTAACGGTCTTATAAAGTATTCCAAGCCTTAACTCCAGTAACCGGCAGAGCTGCTGGCTCAGGAGCTCTAAATCTACACCCAGGGACTGGTCAAGCTTTCTAGACAGCACTCAGGACTGGCAGGAAAAGCTCCAAAACCCCTAAAATGGCACAGGACCACATCAGCACAGTGGTGCAGCGACAGAGCAACAGCAAAGGGTGGATGTCAGGGCGGTAGGCAAAATGAGACCAGGTTTGATGCTGATGTGATGGCAACCGAGGTCCAAACCAGGCGAGGTCGGGCAGATCCTGTGTCCTAGCGCAGACCGGCCTCAACCCACCACCTCCCTGTGACCTTTGGGGGCCCACTGAACACAGGGTCCCGGTTTGCCTAAAACAGTTAAACATGTTGAGACAGGAACATCTCCTGGCTTCAGTTTAAGCGAACTGCTTTTGGCTTACAGTCGGGTAAGGTTTGAAGCGAGGCCAGAGAACAACTTGAGCTGTGGTCCTGGGTATGACCCAGGGGACACCAGCACAACCCTCTGCTCACTGGTGCTGTGGTTCCACAGTTTCTACCCAAATGCAGCTCAGTAAAAGCAAGTTTGAACAGGGCAACAGCACTCAAGAAGCCCCGACCTCGCTCCTGGCAGGTCTGACAAGTAGTTTGAAGGGCAGAGAAGAGCAATACTGCTCACATTTTTAACACTGGCTTCCAGTATGAAAGGTGTGGTGCGGTACTGGCTCAGAACAAGGTGGCACACAGGCACCTGCAAGGACTTCACACACTTCAGTCAATCCGTTCAGTAATACTTACAGCACAGCACTGTGTCACAGCACCGGGCCGAGAAGCCATGCGGTGGTCACAGAATACAGCTGTGGTTTGTTCGTAGTATTTTGAAAATGCAGGAAAACCATAGAAGGTTTAAAGTTGGAAGGTACCTTAAAGATCATCGAGTTCCAACCCCACTGCCATGGGCAGGGACACCTCCCACTAGACCAGGTTGCTCAAAGCCCCATCCTACCTGGCCTTCTAGGGATGGGAAAGAACACTTCTAGGGATGGAAAACCATCAACAGCCTTAAGACCTCTCACCCAGTGCTGCGCACCCCTCATGGGATCTGGCTTGGAGGGTTAACCTGTGCCAGATACTGGAGAAGACCTAACCGCTCTAGGCTCTCATGCACCCTCACTGGCTACGAGACAGGATGCTATTCTGCAAGACAAACTCCCCCGTGCCAAGGCATGCTTGTTTGCCTGGTGCTCAACCTTGACCTGCTCACAGCATCACTGCCTGCCTCTTGGCACCATTCACATTTTAGATGCTGGAGTGGAAGAGAAGGATGTAGGTAGAAGAATAAGCAAAACTAAACAACCGCCTGCTAGAGACAGCCCGTCATCATCAGTGCTCTTCTGAAGCGACTGCCTCCAGCAGGATTTGTTCATCCCATCAGCAGACTAGAAAGTGGTATAGATTTTACTGGAGTGTGTTTGTCTGCCTCATCAAGGGGGAAGATAACAGTTTGGGAATTTTTTCTTCTACCACTCTGGAGACAAAGCCCTTCACAAACACCTTGTGCCGCTTTCTCAAGTGTCCCCTCCAGCCAAGGATTAGCATCACTCAAGAAAGGAGCAAGCAGTGAGTCCTACTTCCCCATGGAAGAAGGCTGCAAGCTGCCAAGTGAGCATGGTTATAGCAACAGCTCCATGGTGCAGACAAAGCAGCTGTTCAGAGGGCACAGTGTTCACAGAAAGCACCAAAAATGAAAAATCCTATGCTTTTTATTGCATGTTCAGTGTTAGTGTTTTGGAGACACAGCTGTGTTAGAGGCAGAGATTGTTCCAACTCCCCTTCCCCACAAAACTGCCACAACTCACCAACCCCAGGCACTTCCAGGGATTGTGCCTGGTTTTGCAGTGCAGACAAGTGTTCACATGAGGACCTAGGCCCTCATGTTACTTGCCACTGAAGAACAATAATGATCCAAGGCTCGCAAAATGAAAATGCCAGCACATTAACTACCATCCCTTGTCCTGCTGGGATGCACACGTGAGCTTGTTCCCAGCGCCCCGACACAAGGATACGAGTAGCCCTATGAATGGGTTGCCCTAAGCTGCCCTTGCTGGATGTTCCGCTAACTTAGTTTTGATGAAAGTCCTTGCTACGCTGTGCAAGAGATGAGAGGCCACTCAACTGGCGCGGAGCTGCTCTGCTGATCAGCTCTGCCAGCAGCAAGCGGTCCAGCTCAGCTGCCTGAATGAAGCACTCCCTTCTGTGCTCTCAGGCGAGTCAGTCAGAAACAGAAACCCAAAGGCTGTCTCCTCTTGCTGCCCACACGCAGCAATGAGCACACTCTATTCCCTTCTCATAAGCTGACAGCTACTTCTTTTTTGCTTTTCTTTCCCCCTCTATAGGGCAAGAGATAACACACTAAAAAAAAAAACAAACAACAACAAAAAACCAACAATTAAAGGAACTTAAAAATTCAACACCGTCTCATTTCTCCCTCTCTCAATTATGATGCAATCCTCCCCATTGCCAGTGGCCTCTTCTATACACCTGTAAAGTGCTGGTCAGGTTGATATTTTCCATTAGATCTCATGGCTCAAGACCCTGAAAACCTTCACGCTCCTACAAGAATAAACAGTTGTGTTATGCCTATAATTTATGGTATTGCCTTTTCATGCACATTTCCTTCTCTTGTGGAAGCCAGGTCTAGTCATCAACCGTGATGTTGCGAAAGAGATAGGCCATGGATTCACCGTTGTGGATTCGTCGGATGGCTTCAGAAAGAATCAAACTGATATCCACAGTCTTTATCTTGGGGCACTGCAGCTTCTGCACCTCGTGAGGAACTGTGTTGGTTACTACCACCTACAGAGTGCCAGAAAGAAAAGACCATTAGTTGCGTCGCTGATACGCTCACTCTCACTGAACAGCTACCCTAGATTAACTCCACAAGCCGTGCACATACCCTGAGCTGTGGAACAGCAGGTTAGAAATAAAGATTAAAATAAATGGTCTCCCCTACATGACAGTCAATCTGTTGAGGGGACGGGCATAAAGAGTCCACCTACAACAGCCACCTCCACACAGCCTGAGGTGTCCATTTAGATCGCAGGATCTGACATGTTTGTTATTAAGGGTGAGGTTTGAAATCTTATCCTCTTAATGTACCCAACAGCCCATCATCAGCTGGGGCAGACTGACAGGTAGAAGGCCAGTACAGTGAAAAAGCAGTCACACGCACCCAGCTGCAGTAAGGGAAGTGTCCAGGCGGGAATGACTAATATCTGTGCATTAGGGAGAAAACATACACAGAGAAGCAGATCTGATCTGAACAAGTATTAATCACACACTTTTTTTTGCCCCCCTCAAATGAAGAACCAGCTAATTGAAAGCATCTGATGAAACCAGTCATTTCAGAGATGAGCTATGTGGCAGGGGAAGTACATCAGCTTGTGGGTTTTGGTGCCTTAAATCAACCTGGCCACCAGAGCCAGCCCTTCCTCCGCAGTCCAGAAAGCGGACGCACCTCATCGATGGAGGATTCCTCTATGAGACGGGGGGCATCTGCTGACAGGAGCCCGTGAGTAGCCATCACAAAAATCTTGTAGGCTCCACGCTCTTTCAGGATCTCTGCAGCAGCTACAAAGCTTTCCACATCATCAATGATGTCATCCTGAGAAGAAACGGAAATAGCATCAAAACCAGAAGTTTACCGTGCCTGCAGGGCAGGAGCGGTTCTGCGAGGTACTGCAGCTTTGGCCATGCACACAGCCGAAAAAAAAAAATCATCTCTGGCTACTTCAGCTGCTGTTGAGATGCAAGGCCAGCCACGAGCACAACTTAAATCTGTGAACACCGTTTCACTACTTTATGGACCCTTTTGTTAGTGTGTAAAACAAACGTTGTGTCTCGGAACCAAATCAGTCCCTGCATGTGCACCCACACAAACAGAGCTTATCTTCATCGAGGTATTTCTTTTCATGGTGATAGTAGCTGCATGTCGATCACTTACATTGCAGCATGGCACAGCAAGTATGAGAAGCTCAATAATATTTTTTTTTTCTGGTTGGGGTTTTTTTAAACACTTCAGGAGATTTCTCTCCATGTCCTGGATTTGTTGGGTATTTGCAGGCATCTGACATTTGTAGATTCAAGGGAGCAAGGAGATTTAAGGGCTTAAAGTGCAGTAGTATGAAGAGTTTTCAACAGAAAGCTGAAATAACCCATTACCAGCAAAACTGGAGAAAACAGTGGCAACAATCACATTCCCACCCCACCCCAGTAATCGCTCCTACCCTGTGGGATAAAGCAGCTCAAGAAAAGATGCTGGGAAGAAGCCACCCCCCACCCTCCCTCTCCATCACACTCATACCACAATGATGGCAATTCTTCCTCCAACGTCTCCAACCACAGTTATTGGTGGTTTCTCCTTGGCCATCATCACTAAAGAAGAAAAAAAAAAAAACAAACAAACCCAGGTCAGTTAGCCTTGAGTCAAACCACAACAGCTCCATCACACAAGAGGCTCAGCCTTTAACTGCATCTTACATTGCTGCACAGATATAGACATGTGCTTTACATTATCCTGACACCAACCTAAGTGGGTAACCACTGGTTTAACCATCATTTTCCTCCTTAAATGAATAGCACTGCTGCATAAAGACGAAACTCTCAGTTTCTGTGGGGACCTCGTACTGACCTCAGAGACAGTAGGCAAATCCAAATATCTACGAGACCCCCGTGCAAGGAGAACTACAAAGCAGCACTTAGTTTATGGGAGATGGAAGTGACACTCTTTGTGCTCTGGAACAGCACTTGGAAAAAAGGGGTATCTCATGACTGGGAACAACAGACGGGCTTCTCCAAGCAACACCTCTCAAAAGGTGTATGCAAGGTGCAATTTTTCACCTGTTGGACTCACTAATTCATCTGAAGGATTTGAGACTCACACTGCAGCTTTTTTGCTTTCTTTCGTACCACCAAACACACAAGGCTCTGAAAGAGGGTGTAAGGACCTTAATACCTGTTCAGGCAAAGAAAGCTTAAGGAAGTTTGCAAAAGCAAGTTCACTGTTTTTTATTATATATATATATATTTTATTTTTTTTTAAGTGTTTTAATGGAAAGAGCAGGACAAAATCCAGATATTAAAACTACTCACTGCAGTAACTGAGGAAAAGTATATATATATATATTTTTTTTTTTAAGTGTTTTAATGGAAAGAGCAGGACAAAATCCAGTTCAAACTTAGTTCAACCAGCAACTGGAAGCAAAAGTATACATTGATGAGCTGTGCTATCTGACACCTGCTGAAGAGATGAACCAAGAAATAAGGTTCCAACCCCTCCTGGCTCTACTGGTACACTGACATGGCTCATGCAAAAACTACACATTTAATAGGCTTTATCCCTTAGCCCAAAAAACTTCCAGCAGCAGTATGAAAAATAACAGAAATATGAACTAGGATGCACTGAGAGTGTCCAGATGTAACACAGCCTTCAGACTTGCACGGAACAGCAACCAGCCTCCAACACTAGCCAGGGACTTGCTGTCCATAAGCCAAACCTCTTGCTTGCCAGAGTGTGCTGGTTTATACAGTGAACGCAGTACAAAAACTCCCAGCACAGAATGACATGGTGATGGGTACGTATGTGTCATTAGGTGATAATCTGGGCTGATCTAACCACTGATGCAAAGGTGAACATCCAGCATTTGTAACACTTACCTGGCCCACCTGCACCCCCCCCAGATTTTATGCTCTCTATGGGGAGCGCAAAGTGTCCTACCGAGGCACTTTGTTCCCCTCCTCGTCGTAAGATCAGGGCTTGCCAGGATTCTGACCACAGAGGCTTCTCAAGCGCCAAGGAGTTCTGGACACCCCAGATAGCAAGACGTTTCTTCTTTAGGATAACCTACTTCCACATAACACTTGAGCGGCATGAGAACACACGCCATTGCCCATCAAAAAGCCCATCTGAACATTGATTTCTGCCCTCCTGGGTGAAAAGAGTCCCACATGTAACTCCCCATCCTGCACAGCAGGCCGATCCAGTACTATTCCCACAACTCATCAGTGCCTGGGAATGCTTAGAGTGCCAGCACAGCTGGGTGAGTGAGTCAGACTGAGGGATGCGATGAAAACAATTATAAGGACCACAGCTCTGAAGATTTGTCTCTAGTGCTGTTCTTCATATACGTGACCTACCTCACAGTCTGGTTTTCTGTAAGCCTACCAAAATTATATAAAAGGTGTTCAATAGTTCTGTTTTGACCAAAGGGACATTACTCATTGCTAGGTTTTGCAGCTACCTTGGACTGAACAGTTAATTGCTCTATGGAGCACAGATTCCCCGGCCTCCCTTGCATTGTTTTTTCTAAGTCTCCTATCACATGCAAAGTCATGTCTAAATCCTGAAGGGAAAACATTCTTATGAGAAGGAAGAGTACTTGTAATGAACTAGGATTAAGCATCACAAGAGATAAGCAGACTGTAAATTTCAATTACAGGCACTACCTACCTGCTTAGATAGTTATTAGTTTATTATCTAGTTTAGACATTAACAAAATTCCTGGTGGGAGCTGTGAAATACCAAAAGGATTACATCTGGCTGCCATCCCGTCCTTCGCGTGCATCCACAGATGAGTACCATTTCTGTTTACAACAACCAGGATAGGGAAAAACTCTTTTCTCAGTAACAGTCAAACAGACCTTAGGGAGCTGAAATTCAGCACTATTTTACTGATAAATGCATGGGAGTCTCAGCAAATCAGTATCCTCCTGTTCCATAAGGGAAGCAGACACATTCCTTGCTACGCTCAAAGGCTAACACAGCAGCTAGCAACTTCAGCAGTGCTTCACATCTCTTGTCCGTTTTTAAACGCTGCATTTATTTTTACTTTATTTTTAAAGTATGGTAGGCAACACGTCGACCTACCCGTATCCTAAAGAGATGTTCTCCCTTTTTCTTGTTCAATTTTCTCTGCAAAGAAAAGAAAAAAATTGCAAGCCAAAGATCTACCCACAACCACATCAAATCGTAAGAGAACTTTCCTCCAACTTGATGAGAGCTTATGCGAGGGTTACTGTGACCAGTTTCTCCTTCAAAATCTTCGGACATACCAAGATGTGAAAGTCAGAACTGCTACGAGAAGGTGACTTGAAAAAGGATTCAAATAATACAGAACATTTTCTTCCCAGACACGAAACCTCTATTTGTAGGTGGACAAAGGAGGGCAATAGAAGTAAGCCACAGCTGTACTTCTGCCTGGCATAACCCCTTGGATTATGTACGAGTTTATGTTAAAAGAGTCAATGTTTTTCCAGAGAGTAAGATAAGATGCTTGTGGTATCTGTAGCTTTTAGGGGGAAAAAATAAAGGAAAGAAAAACAACAAAAGCACTTTTTATAAAACAAGAATATCAAAGAACATTGAGGGGTGGTGGGGAAATAAGTTCATCAGCCAATCACCCTAACCTGCACTTTCATTCTGATGTGAGTAATATACACCAAAGTACCACATGTTAAAGGGGAGATGATCACTGGCACAAAGAAACAGCATTCCCAAGTCCATAAACCTGTTGCCTTAATTAAGCAGTCAAAAATGGGTTAAAGAATGCTAAATCAAATTCTGTTTGAAGCTGACAGCGTGCATTAAAGCAATAATCACCAAGTAAAATAATGCTGCATTTACAACAGAGTCTATGAGCAAAAGGCTGCTCAAGAACAAACTGCTTTGTGAAGACAGACCTGGAAGGACAGATAACATCCCGGTGCCCAGCCTAAACACAGGAAAGAGGTGGGCGTAGGGAAGTAGGAACAGACCTACGGTCGCTCCAGTTTTTCACCCACACTCTTTTCCATCACAGCAATTTGCTGGGCTCTGGGTTTGAAGCGGACCATTAGCTATTTGTATAAAGTACTTGATTTCAAAGCCACTGAAATGATTTAACAGATGGTGCTCCACTCCTTTTCTCAAGGACGAGGAAACATGCAAAGAGTCCACATGCATTTGTTAAGGCACAGCCTCAAGCCAGCTGCAAGCTTTGAGACACAAAGAGCACACAAACAAAGCGAATAACCTCGGAGTGACATCCTGTCTCAAAGGCTCTGATTTCTGGTTTTTGAGTGACATGAGCTGTTGCTGCCACTTTAGCACAGCACTTTAAGAAGTGCAATTGGAAGCACCTTTGGCATTTTTCTGTTATGGCTCCATATGCCACCAAATCAGAGTATCACATCAGGCTACACTCTCAGGACAATAAATAAGCCATTACACTGCATAACACTCGTTAATTAAAGGCACATGATCTCTACTAGAACAGGGAGAAAAGGTGCATGGCGGGAAGCAGGAGCCCAGCCATTTCACTAGGAAGCCCATGAAGAATGGCATAAAGCATAAGTCATCGCTGTAGGGCTCTGGGGCTGCTCCCAGATACAGGTTTCACCTCTCTCCTGGCTCTAACACAACTGCCAGGGATGCTGAACTGCAGTCTAGAGAGGGAGGACAGGATGCTCCACGTCGATCAGGTTGTAGCCCAGAGCAGGATGACTCCATGGTTAGTCTCAGCCATCCCCAGAAGTAACCCCACCTGCCAACTGCCCAGACCCCAGTTTGTGGTAGCTGAGCCAGGCAGACCTGGAGACTGGTTCTGTTTTGACAACCGGAGGTTTTTCTGGCCAGTTCTGGTACAAGGAAGTATACAGCTCTGGGTGTGTAGCGCATGTCCTACCTTTCACAAATGACAATACAGGGCCACAGCTGAACCCTGCTTCACTCTGCCATCAGACCTGACACCACACGGATTGCTGGTGATGCACAGCAGGAAGAGCTGATCAAGGGTTTTGTGTGATGTGCCACTTGAGGTGGGAAGACACTTTTCAGATGACTGACTTGGACAAGAAAGGAGGCGTAGAAGAGAGGGTAAGTACAGACACTCACAGCATTGCCACCCCTAACCTTAGCTGCATTATCACCTCTGCCCGGCAGAGTGTTGACCCATGGCAGAGGCTGTGACACAACCAGGATGCACTAGAAGCTTACAGACTGCTTTTAGAGAGGTATTACCTCAGTATTCTGCACCTCCGGTAACACAGCCCAGCTCACTCAAAACTCACTCAGAACCAGATATCTGTTAAGATTAGAAAACTGGAAAGAAAAGCAACTTTCTGCTGAGAGTTCTGGACAAGCTCACCCCATCATCAACCCCACATCTCACCCTCGACAGACAGCTACCAAGCCACAGCTTGGTTGGTTTACGTATTTTCTGCGGGAGATAAAGTAAGACAGTGGTGATACACAGCAAATCAGTTCATGTTTCGATAGCTGAGGATTGAAAACAATTTTCCACTGAAATTATAACTAAATTGGGCAAGGGCACATTTCTGTATGAGCTACCATTTACAGGGCTCTACAGCAGCACAGTCTCCCACAGTTGAGCTGCCTTAAAGTACTTCCTTTGTTTCCCTATAGGAAATAAAGACACAGTCACACCAACGCCCTGGTAGCAGACAAATGTAGCTGGTGATATTTTGGAGGACAGCATCCTCTTCAGAGTAGGAGGCGAAGGAAAAAGCCAAGAGTAACCATGCAAATTCCCATTTTGTTAGAAGCGTGTGAAAAAATCCCCTTGTCAGAAGGGGGACAATCAAGACAAAGTCTAAAACTTCATTGCCAAATCCCACCTGTCCCCCAACGCCCAAGAGGAGTTTCACCAGCAATATAAGCTTTGTGTAACTGATTGTATTACGGTGAGTGATGACTGGGCTAATGTAAATTGCCTGCAGTCTTACTTGCCTCCACAACCTGCCCACAAACTGGTTGGATGTCCTCCCTAAACTTCAAAAGACAAGAGCAGACGCTTATCAGTAGCCCTAGCCACTGCCAGTATAATTAAGTTTGGCTGCATGAGGGATAGCTCCTTAGCACGTACAGCAGCATGCATCCTTTCCCACGCTCAGTTCTCAGCCGCGTTCGCTACACTCACAACTTCTGTCCTACCACCACCCATCTAGAAAGCTAAAATCCTCCCAAGAGGGAGCTGGATTTTGATTGTAGTGCTGTTGCTTGACTGCTGCAGGAATACAAGCAATCCGAAGAGGACAGCATTTTCCAGAATACAGGTTTTCTCCTTTTTTACTTTGCTCTGTGCTCCCAAATCAGCAGCTTATCCATTGATTGCAAGAGCACAGGAAGAGCTCAGCAATGCTCTTGGAGAACCTATTCACATGACCCACACAAGCCTCAAAACCATGTCAAAGCAGACACTGGAACATGATCACCTGGCTGCCAAGATGAAGAAAATTTCTAGCAGTAACAGTGGCTGCAGCAGAAGAAGAGAAAGGTGAGCCCTCCCCTCCACGCTGGGGACAGCAGCCTGTTTCGGTGGCTGTTCCCACGTTAGTTACACTTTTGCACTTCTTTTCTGTTTCATTAGCTCAATGAGTTTTGTCGCTGAGGGCTGTAAAAGCACCACCTTCATCAGAGGTTTGTCAGTCCCAACACAGTTGAGTGGACGCAGCCACGGAGAACAATACTGATGCTCTGTGTGGCCAGAAAGAATTAAATAAAAACCTTTCTCTGTACCTTCTCCTACAACTTGCTGGTATCAACCTTTTCATGAGAAAAAAATCCACTGGTCCAAATGCCATTAAGTTGGTTATACCTACACAGCTAAATCAACAGCAATTTCCCACCAAACTTTTCCTTTTTTTTTTTTTGCCCCCCAAAGGTAAGCAGAGAAGTTTAATCTTACACGGCAGCTCCAGACCGGGATGCACAGTTGCATTTTTGACCATCGGAGGGGAGTGACGTCCATCATCCATGTCCTGCTCTGTACACTGAGCCTCTCCATGGATCACTGCTAGTCCCAGCCGTAGTCTCTCAGCGTAAGACTGAGCCCTGCAGGACAACCGCAGCACGTCAGGAAGATGTTGGGCTGTCGCAACTTCACAGCCCAGTGTGGCAAGCCTCTCCCAGACCCAAGAGGGCAAAGGCTGCACCTCTCTGACTGTTCCCCAGCAAGAAACTTCATTTGAAGTGACTTTTCATTCCTCCTTAATATCCCACAGCCAACTCTACCCCTTGGCTCCACCACGGGGGTCTCCTGGCGTTCCTCCATATGCTAAATGCTTTCTGAGATGGTCAGGCACTACTGAAACTCATGCAGCAACTCTGATCTTGGCCCCAGGTGAACTACCTAACTCCGCAGCAGCGGAGACCTCCAGAGTTTACTCCCACAGGGTTGGGCTGCAAAATTCAGTTGCCCATCTGCACCACTACAGATGCCCATCCTGTTTCCATTCACAAAGCACTTATGGACCAGATTGCTGAGCCATTTGAGACCCTCCCATAGTTTTCGTGGCGTATTTCCCATCAGCCCAGATCTTTTCCAAGTTACTTTAACCAGATAGTAAAGTCTCCATTTACCTTTTAGCTGCATCGGGAGATTTGGCTACAATAACTGCGTTTCTGTAATCTGGAATCTGGATGTGATAAAAAGTTATTTCAGTAAAGACCTTCTTGCTAGAGAGTAACTGATTTGACACATGGCTGAATAATCGCATCACTCTCCTTCCCCAGACCCGAATCTTCATTCTGTGGCATGAAACTAGAGAGGCAACTGCACTCATTTTCAACACCTGTATTTGTGTATTCTGCCCCAAATGGAACACAAATAAGTTTAGTACAGGCAACACTGCAGGTCGTACTTCTGCACATGACTGTATCTCTATGCCTCCTTCCCTGCTGGTGCCCACAAGTTATGGCCTGGTCTGCAGTGCTGAGCGCAGCTGTGCGAGACACGGGGAACCGCACACAGCGCGGGGAAGAAGGGGAAGGTGTAGTGATGGGCCCCGGGCACCAGAGGTATCAAACCCCGGCACTCAGCAGTGCGCAGAGCCCCAGTGCCTGCACAGAGCAGGTGTTGGCCTTGCATTCAAAATGGGCAAAGATGGAAGCGTTCACTGCGTTTAACCTCCCCTGTCTGCAGGGGAAGGTCTGAACCCGGAGCCAGCTCTCGCCATATGGGGAAGCCTTGCTCTCACCACATGGGCATAAATCGCGGTCTTTTGCACATGGAAAATAAAACCTCTGTGCACTGCCCTCAGCTCTCTTGTGCTCACCGTTCCTACACTCAGCTCAAGACACAGTCAATCAATAATTCAGGGCAGTCAGACATCCACCACAGAACAAAGGGCGAGGGGAGACAGTTTAACAGGATTTAAAAGGTGATTAGAGACAGGAGCATAAATACCATCTCTCAAATAGCACGCTTGTCTTCTGCTTATGGTAAGAGTTCAATTTCTATCCAGGTACAATCATGTAATATTTTCCCACTTTCCTAAGAAACATGCAATAGGTACCCCTTAAGAAAGAATTCATTAACAGAAAGATTGACCCAGCCTGACAACACCACCTCTGCGTAAGTGGAGGCCAATGCTGCTATCACATTTAGGTGAGTTAAGACAAGTTGATATATATAGAACTAGAGTAACCTCACTTCTTCCTGTATATACTGAAGCAAGAAAGGGGATGCTCTCAGGTTGTCTACTGGGAAGCTGAAGAAGCCTTGAATTTCCTTTTGATGAAGGTCCATAGTGATAATGTGTGTTAAGCCTAAGGAAAAAAAAAAAAAAGATAATTCACTGAGACGACTACCACAAAGCTGGAGTTCCTCAAATATCTCAATTTTCCAGACTATTTTAGCTATTACTCAGACTATTATGCCATGTGATAAAATAAGCATAAACAGGTTAACGTAAAAAAGTTCCAAAGACGTAATGAGAAATGGGCATGCGACAAGCCACAGCACTAGGCTCACACTGTATTTCAATATGACACTTCTAGGCCACCTCCCCAGGTGCGAGTTACATCGAAATAAAATTAAGCTGAAGAAAATTAATTCCCCCAAAGTGGCTCAAGGGCTCAGCAGCACATCCCCACATCAAAGGGGAGAAGAACGGGCGGACATACGCCCGCTGAGATGCCCAGTAGCTGGATGCACTGCGGTGTCCGAGCCTGCCATGCTGCCGCTTCCTGTGACGCTCACCTGCCTTGGCGAGCATCGAAGCCAGCAGCTTGCAGACTATAGAGCCCCTCTTCCTCATTTTGCTCTGTTTGCTGTAGGGGAAGTAAGGGATGACCCCAATGATGTTCCTGGCACAGGAAGTCTTCAGGGCATACGCCATTATCAGCAGCTCCATGACAGCAGTATTCACATCCCTAGGAGATTTGAAAACCATTCCATGTATCAGTGGGTGTTTTTCCAACGCAACTTCTTTTATACCCATACCTTTCCTCAGCAAACTTCCAAACAAATAATGCTACATCTTATGCTAATGCATACAAGACCCAGATTGCAATCTTATAGCTCCTTCCATCATGCCACAGCACATCACAATCAACTGTTACAGGTACAGGACGTGACTCCAGCACTCAAGAGCTGTGGACTGAAATTTGATTTTGCATTCTAACATGAGGCGTATAATGATTTCCCTCCGTCATCACAACAACAACAAAAAAAGGCATTTTTTTCATTTATGTTGGAACAAATGTCACTTCATACAGTGTATTTTGAAATAAAAGTCTTTTAAAGAAGCAGCTCACATGCAGCCAACACAACTTCATCCACACTGGATTTATTAGGGTATTTTTAACAATGTAAAGGCAGGTCATTTTTCCTGCCTTCAGAAATACTGCATTTTGAAGGAGTACAAAGTCCAGATGCATCACTTTGGTGCAGGTCAGCATCTCCCATGCTATCTAGCTTATATAGAAATGGAAGAAACAACAGCACAGTAAATGCTAAATGACTGTTTCTTGAAAGAAAAAAAAACAAAAACAACAAAAAACCAACACAGGCAGAATATATCTGTAAACCACAGCAAGGAATACCAGTAAAACCTTGTTTTCAGTTAAGTTCACCACGATGACTGGTGTGGCCTAGCAGGATTGTATTAATCTGCATTTTAATTCTTTTTTGAGAAGCGGGGGGGGAAAAAAAGCCAAGCCTTTTTAGTTCCTTAAAGCCAACACTAAGAGACACTGCATTGTCACAAACTGACTCAAGAACATTTGGGAACTGAAGAACATGCACTTCAGAGAAGACAGAGGGACAGGCAACCCTCCTACAATGCAGACACCCTTGCTGGAGGGTTTTCAGCAGGGACAGCCTCAAATAACACACCACTTCCCCAGACAGGTCCCTAGGAGGGCGATGCTGGGGGTAGCTCAGCTGTGGAGCCCATGGTGACAGAGCAGGGGCTGACCAGGCCATCTTTCAACACATCAGCAGAGGAATAATCAGCACAGAGCAGCTTAAAGCTCCGCAGAGCTTTTTGGATGTTACCCAGACATTGCTCGACCTGTTTTCCTCCTGACCACCAGGGATGGCTTCCCCAAGAGCTCAGAGATAACATTTTCCGAGCCTCCGTCTGTGTGACCCGTGACAAACCTCTAACCGTTTCCACTACTCCATCGCTCCCCCTTCCTTCAGAAATTAACCCCCGTTTGTGCCTCTTCATTTGTGAGTGCTCTGGGTCTCTGTTCTCCCGCTGGCCCCGCCAGCCCTCGCGCACAATGCCGTTTACACACAAGAAAGCTTTGTTAGCTCTGAAGCACCCAGCCAAGAATTACATAAAACATAGCCCCCTGCCACGTAGGACAACGAGCAAACAAAGAACTGTTTCTTCCCTTTGGTGTTTTAGCTGTGCCACTGGGGCCACGAGAAGAGAAAAAGATGGTACTATCAGTGCTGTATAAAAACAAAGTGGCCGAGTTTAAGCCATTTAAAGTTCATCCCAGAAATTCAATATTTTCCATCATTACTTTTCAAAAAAAAATAAAAATACATATTCACATGGAAAGCAGATAGAGAACAAAACTGCTCCTGGGAAAAAGGGTTACCACTGATTTCAAAAAGCACCAGCAGTCCTGGTGCTGTTGTGGGACACCAGTAGCCATATAGAGAAATTACTCGAGGAGGAGCACGTCTCTCAATATTCAAGCAGAGCCCCATGCGGCACTCTGGGAAGCTCCGGCAGACCAGCCAACACAGGCACTAGGCAGAGGCATCTGTCCTTCTAGCAGAGCCCAAAGTGGGTGGGCTGGGGGTGCTCGTCGAGGTGAGGAGCACCCTCCTGCACGCTTCGTGCTGAGCCAGCCCGATCTGCTCCTCTGCACTGACCCCAGCCAAGGGACTGGGTCAGTGTGGGGACTAACTGGGGGAAACCAACATCCACAATGGAATCCCAGCCACAGCATCACCAAAACAGGTACCCAGGAGAGCATCCCAGACTCCTTGCTGCTCTCTCCATCTCCTGCCTTGAAGCCATGCTCGTAGTTATTCCTGGAAAGCCTGAGCCAAGGTCTTCCTGGTCTTGGCCTGAGCCAAGACCCCACACGGGGACCGTCAGCTCATTACCGGGTCATTTAGATCCGGCTCAGCTATCCCCCATGCCCTACTTACCACCTCTCCCCAGCAGCCTGGAGCCTCCCTCACTTCTCCCCATCCCTGCCTGAGCCATTTCTGGGGATCCCTGTTCTCAGGGCTGAGGAAATGGTTTATGTGAAGCTGCCAATTGATTTTGCAACAACCAGCACCAGCACTCAGCACTAAAAGACTCCTTTCGCTTTTAGCGTATCATTAAACCACCAACTCCTTCATTTTTCTACAGTCTAAACATCAGCTATTTCGTTTTCCCTCATAAGAATGCTAGTCCACACACCAACCACCTCGGACAATACCTGTTTTCGTAACTTTTCTAGTTCCGCTATATGCTTCTTCGACAGGGATCTTGTATCTAATATTCAGGTCTTCCTGTTTTCTCTCTGTGTATTTAAGATGCAGACTGAATTCACACTGCAGTATAACAAGGTTGTTTCCCTCTCTACTCTTTTCCTGCTAAGTCCTAATATTTTGGTTGCTTTTCAAACCACTACCGAGTGCAGAAGTCCTGTTCTCAGATTGTTCAACACAGTTGTTTTCACTCTCCTGAAAAGCTCCCTGAAACCCACTGCAAAACTGAGATGCCCTTGAACCTGTCCTCTCAAGCAATGCAGCAAGGGACAGCTGCAGCTTAAGTATAAAAGATGACTCGGCTGCACAACAGTGGCTCCTCACCTGGAGAGCCTTGAACATTTTGGCTGAAAAGGATCCATTTCTTGGCCTGTAACACTGAATTCAGTTTATGGAAAAACAAGGGGATCAACAAGTTGAAAGCAGGGGAGATTTCCCCCTCCTAAAAACTACTGCTGTCCCTAATGCTCCGAGTTAGCTCCCTCTGAACACTTTATCTGTTTGATGTTTACACAGCTCTCAGTTACAAGTTATTTCAGAGAACGATCTCACGAGGGACAGGAGAATGGTACTATTCACCCAAAACATAATTCTGCACCAGTGGGTTTTCATCTTGCAGAGATTTAGTTGCTCCCTGAGGGAGGAAACACTTGGGAGTATCTCTCTGGAGAGAGATGAGCTCTAGGAAAATGTCTCGGCCTGCAAGAGGAACCCCAGAAGTGAGCAAACTAATCTTGTAGTCCTACTGATTTAACACCAGGCCAAGCACTACAAAGAGGAAACGAACTTGAGTTCTCACTGGGCTCTACTTCTTTGGCAAGCAAGGAAAAATTCTGTTTGAAGGGTATTCCGCTACCTGCTTGAGCTCTGGTACTTATTAGTTCTTGTGATCTCCAAAATCTGAGCAGAATTCGGTAACTTGGAAAAAGCTATCAGAGCAGGAATATCTCTGAAAACAGCATCTCCCCTACTCATAGTCGGTCGTTTTGCAGTTATCATTTGTATGTAGGCTCCCTTCCCACCACACGAGCGCTAACACGCTACACTCTACCTCAGCCAGCAAGCAGCAACATTCCTGGGCTTAGCAGCTGGTTTTCTAGCCCCCTGGTTACTTGCAGCACTTCTTCCTCTCACTCCAAGGCTAGAACAGCCCAAAATAAAACCCAAAAAGGGCCACTTAGGAAAAGGCCGAACATCGTTAAGAACTATAAGAGTTCTTAAGCTACAGGCTTTCACCTGAGCTCAGTTTCACATCACTACAGCCGAAGAGGAAAAGTAATCCAGCCTGTAATGAAAGCAATAGCTGCTGTTGGCTGCTGGTGCTGCTGCTTGGTAATTGGAAGGCAGAGGAAATTACACATCCTGAAATGGAAATGCCAGTCAGAAATCACCAAGCAACTGAGCCTGCAAGGACACCACCACACAGACCGGGGATGTTTCACTTAAAGCCGTCAGTCACACTTGCTCTTGCCTTAAGTGACACACTAGAAAGCTTCTCAGTTTGCTGTGGCACAAGCGATCCTCCGGGAATTTTCACAGCTTAACACTATGTGGTGTCTTAAATGTAATTCAAAGCAATGACAACGCTGGAAATAGACTGGTTATCGTGCCAGCTAATGGTGAGCAAACCTACCGAACAATCTACTGAACCAGAAATTCAAAGCACATCACAGCTGTAAAACTGAGCCAACACTCCCTTACCTGGGGATTGTCTGTATAATGAAGATATCCTGTCCCCGGACAGATTCTTTTATTTCAACTCTTGTTTCTGAAAAGGATTGAAAACACAGTCAGTTTTGTTTCCAAACATCAGATTTACAGATTACAGATGAGCCAAGGGGATTTACCAAAGGCCAGTCCTGGGAAGTAGAGCTGGCATGACATACCAGTGAGTTGTATTTACAATGCAAACCCAGGCTGAATAGCTGTTCTCCTACATGTAGGAGACAATTACCTAACTCTCAATGAGAGATTCTTTTCACTTCTCCATGCTGAGTGCTGAAAGCTGTCAAAGCCACATTCATTAGTGAACAATGAACCACCCAAAGCAGAACAACCTTTAGTACTTACCAAGAAGGTAACTTGGCCCTTTTGCAGCTTACCACAGCGTCAGCTCCATACAGACTGGATAGCCCAAGGCAACACCAGCAGCACCGAGCTCAGAGAGAGAACTCCCCAATTTCACTATCAAGGTGAAGACATTTCAACACCGAGACAAGCTGGAAATTGGTGTCCCCGCTGAACACAATTCCTACAGTCCCAGACTCAACTGCAAAAGCCGAGCCCAAAAGCAGCTCTGCGAAGCCAAAGCAATGACACCAGGTTTCCCGAGGTGCCTCTCTTAGCCACTCATTTTCCACACAGTCAGGAACTAGAGGGCAGGGATACGCACAAGGAGAGAGATACCTACCCAGCTATCAACTTCAAAGTCTAATTGCCTGGCACTGGCAGTAACCTTACGAGACTCTGCTGAAAACAGACCGATTTGCTGTGCAGTGATGAAGAACGACTTCAGACCTTGTAGCAAGTGACCCGATTTAAAACTAACCCCAAAGGGCAGCGAGCTCTCACTAGCACGAATGCAACAGCCAACCCAACTGCAACCACGGCAGCTTACATACCGCATGGCCCGTTCTGGCTGTAAGAGCAACAGCACTATCATAAATCCTCATGCCAACTCAGCACCATTTCCATCCCTTCCTCTCGTCTGTGTCAGCTCTCTGGTTCTAGTCTCTCTTGCAAATAAGGTAACCGAGGTCTTCAAACAGTAAATGACTCTTAACCACAGAGCTCAGTTAGCCAATATGCTTGTGTTTTAGCTCAACATCTGAAAACAGACACTTGTTATATTTAAAGAGATGAAAGCAAGCTCCAAAATACACGCTGCCCAGCACAGCCCTGAATTTGCACTCTTTAAAGCACGTGGACACGCTAGGGCAGCTGTAAATTGCCTGTGTCGGGGGAGGCCTGGGAGAAGGGGATAATTAAAAGTTTGCAAGGCAGACACTTAGAAAGCAGTCTGTTACTTTTAAATCTGGGGGATGTTTTGCTAAGCACAAGAGCGTGTAAGATTTTATAGCAGCTAACACCTGAGGTAGGACTCTCCTTTAGATAACAGCATGGGCAGACAAACGAGGTAACAGGGGAAAGCAAGGAACACATTTAATTGCTTCATCCAAGGTCGGCCACAGAGGTTTAGCACTAGCAGGAGCAGCAATAACATCACAGCTGAATCACTGCACTTATTAGACAGGTTTTGATTGATGAAGTTACCCACCATTTCTAAGATTATCTCGAAACAGTTGCAAACAGTGAAGGTTTCTCTTACCTCCATTGGTTTCTTGGTACACCACAGATTTCCCCAGCTCAGCACCGAGGCGCCTGGAGAGAAAAAAAGGAAATTAAAAACGGAGGAACCCCCCCAGTTTGTGATCCAAAGCAGTGACTGGGCCAAACATTGCACACCAATAAAACACAGCGTTGCCTAACAGGGAGCTGACTGCACCAGCCAGGCTGCAGAACTACTTCCCCAGGGGTCTCCTTCCCTCCGAGGACCCTGGGGAGGACCCTGGGGCACGCTGCTCGATGCCACGCTTGTAAGAGCCAGCAGGATTGACCAGAGGCTACATCTCCAGAGTTACAGCAAAGGACATCTTGCTTCATTTGTGCCATGCTGCCTTAGGCAGATCTGTTGTGGAACTAAACATTAATGATTTATTCAGATTTGATTATAGGCAACTGAGTCACGTTTTTGACTCCCATGTCTTCCCCCCTCCCCAACCTTCCTTCTGAAATAACTCAGCTGATTGAAGAGATTTTAACTTCAAAAAACAGTTTTCTGATTTTTTTCAAACTACTCCTTCCTCTTCTCAAATGTCAAACCTACAACATTCATTGCAATAAAGATTACAGTTGTCCCCCCCCCCGGTTTTTAAAAATTTCTTTCTTATATAATAAAGATTCACTTTGAAGAACATTTTAAAAGGCTCCAAAAGGTAGACTTTTCCCTCAGGTGACACTTTTGTTAAATACTTCTGTATTTAACTGTACTGACAAGTAATCCATTAGTAAATATTATGGAGCGTATGTGCCTTAACCATAAGCCTCAGGTGAGAGACCCCACACCAGTGAGACGCTTGGGATAGGTGTTGCTGCAACTCAGCTGGCTGGAGCATGAAGCTCCTCTTGTCTGGGGTCTGCTGGGGAGCCATGCCCACATGCTAGATTAGGAAACAGTTTATACCCACAAAATACCTTTGTTCAACTCGTTGATTATAGTGGTAATTTCCTTTCTGCACATATACTCTATTTACCTGGATGGATGCCAAAATTTTGCAAGTTACAACTAGTCCTAAATAAAGAGCCCACATCTGTTGCTGGCTCTCCCCCAGTCTACTGCCCTCAGCAGTTGATCTCTCCATCGCCTTAGTCACAGACTCAGCCCTGTACTTCAATTGTCACGAAGATTTGTTTTTTCAGAAGTCAATGAGCAAGACAGTCCGCCACCGGCATGCTGCTGGCCCACCAGCAACTGCTGGACTCAGCTATCAGCTCACAAGCTGGAGGTCTCAGCTAGAAGCTGGCCTAGAAAGTGTGCCCAGGACAGCTGCGATAACAGATACTTGACTGCAATGCGATATATTTGCTTAGCTGGCTACAAGGCACGTATTTGGCACACACGCATTCCCGATCGTGTGTCTGGCTGCACGTTTTGCCATGGCTGGGACTGGTGAGTAAACTCCCACATCAAGAATCGTACGGGCAAGACTGTAACCAGCCCAGCTCACGTACCAACTGCAGCATCACCGAGAGATCGTGCAGTCCCGAGCAGCCAAGCCACCTCAATCTCTAATTTGGCTTTTCTCACCAGCCCTGCTGGGTTAGAACTTGCAGCCACAATGCAAAGGCATCCTCAGTACCTTCAGTATCTTCAGAAACAAGCTGGCAGCCGGTCAAGCAAAGGCAAGCCCGGGGATCCCAGGGATAGACACACAGTAAAAGTGAGTTTTGCAGCTGGGATCTGTTGAGCTCTTACTGCCCATTGCGATCCCGCTGTCTTTCCAATGACAGTCAGGCATTTGCAACAACTAAGCTTTGGCCTAATCATTGCCAAGGCATCCAAGTCAAAAGAAGCTCAAGTACCACACACACAAAACAAACCAGTGTGTGTGTGTGTGTGTGGGAACATTCAATGACTCACGCTTGTTCCTCCACAACCGCACAGCAAGTCTTGCAAGCTCCCTTTGGAGGCACGTGCACCCTGACTTCACTGCAGACAGCACGTTCCTACCTCACTACTGGAAAAAAAAAATAAAATAATCCATTAACAAGACTGTGCAAGTGCCCTTAGTCAACCCTGCCTCTCATGGAAGGAGGGAAAGCTTCCAAAACAGTTCAGCTGGACACATTTCAGCAAAACACCCCTTGGAGGGTGGCACTTCCAACGCTAAGAAGTGGCAAACAAACACAGCAGAGGTTTGTGATGCTCTGCAAGAATGTAGCTGGCAAGAAGAAACCAGAGCCCAGTGGTGCCCTACTCGGATCGTACTGCAGCAATGCAGTTTCTGTGCTGCTGAAACAAGAAATCAGAAAGCCAAGTTTGCTCCCCGATGAAAAGCGGGACAGTAAACAGCCCAGCTTGTCAAACCTGGGTGCAGACAGCAGCAGAAGAGACAATAAGCAGCTGTCAACTTAAAGGAGTGAGCAGTAATAGATTGTTCTGGTCAGACAACAAATCCCATCTCTGCTCCAACTGTTGACTGCAAATAAACAAGAGGGGCGGCAATGGGAAGGATACGAGATAAAACTGCCCATAAAAGTCATACATCAACCCTGCCTGCAATGCTCTGCAGTCCCACGAGCTGCAGGCACGGCAGACGGACCAACAGGCAGCTCCACCAAAGCAGTTCAGGTATGTTTACCCAAGGGGCACACCTTCCACCAAATCCCCCTCCGAAGGTTTTGCGTAAGCAGAGACTTCAGCCAGCGCAGGAGCATGATAAAACCTTGATTTAGCCAAGGCTATTAAGAGGGGACTGCTTGTATAGCTCCTGTTGTAAAACACCAAATTCCACAGGACTTGTGTCAAAAGGAAGATTTATGTAGAAGTCAAGGGCAGAGCACCGCCTTAGCCACCACATAGGCTGGCAGCAACCATTTGTAACAGAGTTCAAAGATAAATTCTACTTTCCTCTCACCTCTCCCTTCTTCCCCTCCACTCCCAACTCTTTTCTCTCTAAATCATCTCCATGCAGAAGCTCCCCTTCGGTTGTTGCTTTAGGCAATAGAGGAATTAAACTGACAGCAAGAAGTCTGTTTGCATTTGGCTTCAGGACTAACAGCATAACCATATGAACAGGGGTTGCCACAATTACTGCATCACTTGTCTGCAGACACGGGCAGATCTACACTAGGAAAGAAAAGGCTGCCACTACAGGTAACCCAGAGTACACACACCTGCAGAGAGACTGGGCTTCTTCTGGCAATAATAATATTTTAGGTCCTGTAAATAAATCGCATCTCCAAGCAAAATAAGCTCCATTGACAAAAGCCCTGCTGTGTTATGCGGTATTCGGCTATAGGGAGGTGAGGGCTTTTGCCGATGCAGAGGTGTTTATGACCGGAGAATGGCCAGGCTGATTTTACAGTATTTGCAGAAATCTCACTTCTTAACCAGCGCCAAGCAGACATCAGAGCAGTAGTTCACTTCTGGAAGCTCCCTACTCCATCCAAGAGAGACAGAAACTCAGTTTGGCATTGTTTTTGTTTTTAAAAGCAGCAGTCTTCAGAATTGGGATCTGTTAGAAAAAGCTACACACAGTCTTGCCAAGCTCAGCACAGAGGGCTGGGCACAGCAAGATCAAGGTATCACTACTCCAGGCTGCTCCCAGCTTTTAAAGTTTTTAATTCCATCACAGTGTCAGCTTTCCCTGTCTAACCACTCAGTGCTCCTGGTGAGGAAAGCCCTGCTCCTCACTCTGCTCTGTGGTCCTCCCACCAGCTCTGTCACTAAATCATCACTACGACCTGATAGCACCTAAGAGAAAAATTCTCTTTATGGCTTTAAAAACCCTACTCAAAGCAACTGGCCAGTAAAAAAATTATACTGATCTGGAATATCTCTCTCTGTAAATGTTGCCCAGGAAAGATGATCTAACTTTCTGCAGGCTCAACACAGACCAAGAGGATATTAAGCTGTGGAGACAAGAATGTTTATAAAATCCATCTCAAATTCACAGCCTAAATGTGAACAGCTCACAAGTTACCTATAGTTTAATGAGAAAGTGACACACCACAGTATTTTACGAAACGCTACAGAGTTATATTGGACTGTACTTTACAATGCTCCTCTGAAGACTGTGAAAAACCACTATACCCAGCTCTTGAGACAAAGGACAGTAAGTTAAAAACACACTTGATGTTTAGCTGAATCAGATTTCAAGAGGCAAGCGCACTTGCAGTACTTCATGCCATCAAAGCATGTTTCAGTACCGCTGGGAAAGGCCATCAGCCCAGGCTGTGTTTCCTTCTCCCACTTTGTCACAAGCACCTAAAAGACATTATAAAGTTATCTCTGAAGGAAGCTTCCAGCCAGCTCGCAATGCAAACATTCAATTTGAATACAAGTCTGCACACAGACAAAGCCCTTGACTATGATATGATTTTATTTTGGCAATATCCTCGTCGTTACAAACGCTTTCACTTGGCTCAGCTCTGCAAATACCCGACTCTCTCCATGAACGGCTGCAGGCTCCAGAGGAGTTGGAGCTGAGCGCAGAGGATCTGCTCTCTGTTTGACCATGGCCAAAGCAAGAGACGGCCTGACTTTGAACTGCTTTTCAAACTTGTGCAAACCTTTATTTTTAAATAAAGATGATCTTTAGATCAGTCATCTGGTCCAGCTAGCATGGTGGCAGCTCTGCGGTGGATTTCCTAATTTCCACTTCAAGAACAAGCCAGGAAAGGGAAAGGAAACAGCAGTTTCCTGGACACAAGGCAATATCCTTGTTCAAACATCCTTGTAACTGTCTGAGCCCCCCTTTACCCCTCTCTATCCACGAAGCAAAACTGAGTACTCGAAGAACAGTCCCTGCAGCTCATCTGCCACTTGTACCCAGAGCCATCCAGCACTTGCATCATTTGTTCCAGCAATGCCAAAGCCGTGCAGCTGAACTACCAGCAAATACCACACAGATTTTCCTCTACTCCTACCAGTCTGCTCCTCGCAAAGGAACTTGCCCTAAACCTGGCACTGGCCAGCACAGAGAGCTACCACGCAAAGCCAATCTGCTCAGCCACATTACATGCTCCACCTAAGCTGCACAGAAAATCTGAAAGCCCAACTGCTCCACTCTCACCCTACTCCCGCACTGTCCCCCACCTGCAACCCCCTCCAACTACACTACTTTTTAGCTGGTTATTCTTTTCCCTTTCCAAAATTCTTTGATGCAGTTATACCCTGTAATATCCGTTAGCCTCCTGCCACAGCGCCGCATCTTCTGAGAGGGAAAAGAGTTGGTGCCACCTCCTCTCCTCCCATAGCACCACAAAAGAGCTCTTTGCAGAAGGCAAGATGGGGGTTGGAGACGGGGGAGAGCAGCATCACAAGGCTGCTGTGATCTGACTCACCTGTGCCATCCCCTCACATGCTGGCAAGATGACCTAACGAGGAAGGCCGACATTAGTCTTCCTCTATCACACCAGAAATTCTCCTTCAGCTGAGGGAAGTTGCTGCGAATACTCCAAACATACTGTCTCTTCCAAAAGCAGGGCTCACCTCCCGCTCATTCAGAGAAAACACCACCCCAATTTTAGCATTGTGTACCCAGTTCCCTACAGCCAGAGATCAGAACACAAGCCTCCATCTTTTCTTCATTACTCCACGTTGTTTAGGCTCACGGCATTGCTTTTATCTTTACATCAACAGCATTTTCCGTGCTGCAAACAAAATGAATGTCTGAAATAATCACATCCACAGTTTGCAATGAGCTTACACTGGTATCACGTCCCACATAACGCAGGCCTGCAGGAGCACTAGGGAGGCATTAGCAAGCTTTAATCAGCAATCCCCTCCAACCCAAACACACAAACAGGGAGTGGAATGTATTAGTTGTACCCTCTGTGCCAAACACTGCAGTCAGAGGGAGATCTAAATGCATCCGTTGGACTCCGGAGATTAAGAAGACTTGCTAGACCTCCCTTCCCCCAGCAGCACACAAGGCCCATTAGGGATCAGCACTGGTCACTCAAATTATCTTTCTTCCCTGCAAATGCAGCTTGTAGTCAGGTGCCAAGTGTCCTAATTACAGCAAGAGTTTTCTTTCCATCTGGGAAAGAATTAAAGAAAACAATCATCCCTCTCAATTATAAAATACAAGTAAACACATAGTTTTATTTATGTTTCAGTGGTCCTGAATCTAAGGGGCATCTTTGTTATTTAAAGTTTCACAAGGTATTTGGGTCTCATAAGCCAGCACAATCTCTTCTTCCTGGCAGATGCTAACATAAACAAAAGCTCTGAAAACTCAAAGTGAAAGTTAGACTAACCATTTAGTCACTCATCCTACAACCAGACAAGAATACATAACGGGAAATCGTAAAGATCGGAAGCATGCCAGAATGCCACGCTCAAAGCCTGAATCGAAAGCAACTCTGGAAGTTTTGTGTTAAATGACGTGAGGAGATTGAACAGCTTTCAGATGTCTGGTTTATATCACGCTGTTCCTCCCCAGGCTTGAAATTTTAAAACAGGATAAGCCAGGACTCCTCAAGTATTGATTTCACATCATACCTACAGGCAAACAGCCTGGGTGGGCAAGTGTCTCAAGGGGCCCTACTCCTAATATTGCGTGTTGTTTTAAAGTTCTTTTACTACTTATACTAAAGGTCATAAAAAAACTTTAAAAAGAACGCACAATATTAGAGGACAGACTCACCCTTATATGACTTCTCCAACTCTATTAAAAGGCGCAACTGACCTCCCCAGCAAAGTACAGGCTGGGATGTGACACAGTGGGAAAGCCAGCAGTCACGCATCTTTTGCAACCTGAAAAAACAAGGGATGTATTACAGACATGCTGAAACAGCTCCTGAGCTCCTAAGGGAAGTCAGTGCAAAACCACCGCTCAAGACGCTGAAAATACCTTTCTTTTGGGGAAAATCCTTACTGTGGGCAAAACCTTACTATTAATGGTTGCAGATTTTGCACCCCTCCCCAACAAAACCTCAGCTGCATATAATGCTACACACCTTTCCATTTCAGAGTGGTCACTACTCCCATTCTACAAGCAGTACAGCTACATGTCATTAAGTCTCCGTTTAAGCAGTAGCTGTGTATCACACTGTTGTGCTCATACCACCACTGGAGCATCCAACTTCCTCACTGACGTTAGAGCCAAGGCAAAAAGCCCACATCACTCCTATTAAAAGTTTACTTTGTGAAGGACAGCGAGGAGGTCACTTTCTGGATCCTGCTGTCACTCAGCCTCAGAGCATCACTGGGAACCATGCAGAGGGTTACAGCAGCACGTCACGCAGCCAGTTGTGCGTGCCATGGCCTGGGGAAGCCTGATCCATGCCTCTTCTCATTACATCTTTAAAATAAAGTGAGTTATTTTTAAGACAAAGAGCAGAGAATACAGATTGCCCATTTGCTCTTTCAGTCCTGAGAACTTGGGAGCTCGTCCCCAGGGGACTTCTGTTATGTTCTGTGTTGACGCAACAAGACAAGCCTTGTAAAACCATGTCTCATCTGTTGCAGCGAAACTTACTTTTTGTATATAGAGAGACTTCATTTTCAGAGTCGTATCAGTGAAGGGAAAGTGATACCAAACTGACCAAATACAGCAAAAATACATGAACAAAATACCCTGCCTTTCCACTCCCACACATAAAGTTCCCCCCTCCACCTCACACCCAAAGAAGTCCATCACTGTTATCCAACATGCATCCCATCAACACCAGGAAGCCCAGCCAAACAGCCAAGTCAGCTTCGTGGAGATAATCTGTGCTAAGGATTGAACACACTGTTTATTAAGCTAGCTGGATGAATAGCAAAACGTTCTTGCAGTTTAAAGCGGCAGCACACCTGTATTTAGTAATGTTTCCAATTTAAGTGCGCCCTTGAAGACAGGGACAGGCCTGCAGCTGCCTAAGGGGTAGCAAGGATGCTGTCTGCTGCAGCAGGCAAACAAGCACTGAGCCATCTCGATTTTGGGAGCAGCTTCCTATGAACTGCAGGAAACCCAAATCCTGCTTTAGGATGACAGTTCCCCGGTACACTGATCCCCATCTCGGAAAAGCCCCTTCGGCTGGGAGTGCCCCAATTTGAACCAAACTAATTCAAAACAAAAGCTCAAGTGTCGGGGGAAACTCAGTGCTCCTCTGTGTACCAAGAGCCCCATTCTGGAGCCAGCTGTTATTTTTTACAGCTGATTCGGCAGGACCCAGCACATCCATCCCTGCCAAGTCAAGGTCAAACTCTGCCCAAATTGATGGGCTGAAGAAAAAGGGGCACAATTCTACCCCTAAACTAAACTCTCTCTCATTAGCATGTGCTGCCCACCTCTCCTATCCCACAGAAATCCACTTGGGTTAGTGGAAGTGCAGGTGTTGTACTGAGGTCCGCACACAGAACATTCCCCGCACCCCAAACAGTGAAGCTGTTGAGCAAACAAGGTCACCAGCCCGTCCCCACAAAAAGCAGCAGAGAAAGTTTTGAGCATCTCCCAAACCAGTTAAAACGCTTTGAGGTTTGTCCAGCCAAGTTTCACCTCCTCCCTCCCCAGAAGCAACAGCCTCTGCTGCAACCCAGCCTTTCCGGCACTGAAATGGATGTCAAAGACGCAACAGGCAGAAAGCAGCGGGTCCATTTTCATCACTGGGTCAAATTCAGTTATCGGGAGGGATGAGCTGGCACGGAGGAGAAGGGCAGAGCTGCTGAAGACTCTCAGTGCAAAACCTCCCCAGCAAAGATGTTCGCAGCAGATGCCTTTGGCTTAGGAAGGCAAGAGGACACCAAAAGCCTCTCCAGCCACTCTGAAGAAAGGCTGCCTGCACAGAGGAGCTCTGGGGGGGAAAAGAAACTTGAAAGAGAGGGAACTTACTCCGTGATCCTCTTTGCCAGCTCGGTGCAGGCCGCCGTGGAGTTGGCCGAGAAGACCCGGTAGCCACTTCTGGCTGCGTTCATCGCCAAAGAGTCATGCAACCCCCGTGGAGCTCGAAAGTGAGAAAAAACAGATTTATAAGGCAACAACAGCTTCCGTGGCATCCTTTTCTTCCTCTCCGCCGCGATCACCGCCCCTTAAGGGGTGGGGAGGAGCAGGAGGAGGAGAAGAACAACCCTTCCGCTACCTATGGTCTTGCTGGTCCACTCCTGTGGCGAAGTATAAAAGGGGAGGGTGGGAAATATGACTGTTAAAATAAAATGGAGAAGCAGCAGTAGCCCGGGGGGGG